TAATGTTCCAATCTTGATGCATCTTTATAACTGTTAGATTTTCGGTCTATCAAATTAAACCTGTATTTTATTATAATAGGTCTATATAATATTGATATTTATTTGCATTTTTATTTATATTCATGTGTTAAATTTTAGTAGAATGAAGAAAATAGTGGAATTAGTCAATCCCATTGCTTTCTTTAATTTGTGTAAAAACGTTTACTAAAAAATATTAATTTGGGAACATCATTTCTGATGGTTAATTTCTTTAACAATGTGCAATATAGAGGAACATAGAACCCAATTAGAGAGGGCCATCCAATGCCGCACATATGTGTTTTATGCCCTATATCAAACCAGGCATCTTATGTACATAATATTGTAAATGTATTATTTTATAATAATATGTACTGTCTGTCTAGTTTGTTTTTGTTATGGCTTTTGTCAACTTAGGAGATTTCACTTTGTAACTGCTCTGTCAAATCAATTCTGTCCTTTTGGGTCTGGGCATTGTAACAATGTGACATCTAGAGCTTATCCAGATGAGCAGAGAGCAAATGAATTTCCTTTTGCTCCTCTGTTGAAAAGGAGAGAAAAATTCTTCAATCCGTGAGTGTTCAGAGAGCACCATGCTATTCTTTATGGTAGTTTAATCTAAGGACTTTGAGTTCCTAGGGGTGCAGAGTCCAAGGCAAATCAGGCTGGACCCTCCTTATATTTGCACAGGTTCAAAGAAATACCCTGAAGGGGATTGGAAGCCTACAAATATCTGGGTGAAGGAAAGGCCATTTGAGAGGGGCCTGCAGCCTTGGGGAACTAACCTTGGTAACTGGGGTCACAGTGTTTATGGGCTCATTTTGCACCAAAACCACTCCCTTTCCCCCTCACACTACTTCTCAAAGCCTCCCCTGACTACGAAATTTAGTACAGAAAATCACAAGGCAATCACCCCAATTCCTTAAAACCAAAGGAACTCTTGCCCAAGGCCAACTTCCTGGGCATGCGACCTAGGTGGGCACAAAGGGCCTCAGGCTTGCAAGAGCCCCCACTTGGTTTAATGCTCACTGTCTCCGTCTTGAAATGTTTAATACTCTGAACAAGGAGCTCCATTTATTTATGAATATACAGATCTTTTTATACAAAGCCATAAAGCATGTTTAACACAAGAACATAGGCTATTCCTCATCTTATCAATGATAAAAGAACCAAAGGAATTTAGGGGTATTAACAATAAGGCTAAGACTAAAATGAGCCCAATTTTTAATAGAAATTAAATTTTAGTGCACTATGATAGAGGGATATTTTTCTAGGGTATTTGTCATTTCTGCTTTCCATCTGGACAATTAGAATATTATGAGATAATAAAATGTGCCAGCTAGGTGTTTCAAACCAGATGTACAATGTAGCTACATAGAGGTCACTGTAGTTTTGTTTTTTTTTTTTTTTTTTATAAAGTGAGAAAACCTGGGTGCAAACCAAGGTGTTGGATAATAGCATACCTGTGAATACCAAGGGATGGTGCCAGCCCTACACAAAACTTAAGATCTTGAAGTTTGAAATATCCCGTTACATTTGTATTCCTTCCTCCCTATGCTAAAAATAGTTCAATTTCTGAAAAACTTATGTATAATATCATCTCATTCTCCCTTTGCCACATGATTTGAGCCCAAAACCCACATCCCATTTCTGTGTGGCTTTGTTCTCAGGTGACTTTTGTGGCTAGAAAGCTATCTAATAATTAACACATATTAAAATTATTAACTGGTACTAACTTAAGGTGTGACTTCTACCTGGGATTCTCTGTATTTAAATACTTAACAAATACCACAAAGTCTTAAAGCCTCAAGGAAAAGAATTTCTCTCAGAGGCATGGTGAAGCCCAGTGATAAGCCAGTGGGTGCTTCCTGAAGCCTTCGGTTGCACCTGGCAAATAGCTGCCATTGTGTCTGCTCGGAAGAGCTGCCTGTGATGGCCATGTGTGGCCAGGAGACAGAAGAAACCATCCCAACTATTCTTTTAGTTCATGTTGAAAACTTGAATAGCTCAGTAGCTCATCCAGACTGATTTAGGCTTTGTCACATTGTTTCACTTATGGCAGATGCTATTATACACAAAGAATAATGTACTTTACATAAACTTGAGGACTGAACTCTGATCTTTTTCTTTTGCTAAAAACTCCTTCCTAAGGAGGCCAGCTGGGTCAGGCTGACAAAAGGTAAATTCCCACTAAGCATTCCCACTAAGTGGGGTGGTTTACTTCCCAACCTGATCCTGGTATGGCATTAACATCACCTAAAAGATAAGAAGCCCCTGTCTTAACTCAAGCATCCTAGCAGATGCCTATCATAAATTTAAAATATCTTAAAGCATTCTAGCAGGCGCCTATTGTAAATTTAAAACATCCTCCTATCTGGACCACCCAGAGTGCTCACACCCTTATCTTAAAATAAGCATATCCTTTCTGGTCTTCTAGATAAAGTCTAACTCTCCCAGCCAATTGCCAGCCAAAGAAGCTTTAAACCCACCTATAACCTGCAAGCCCCCACCCCCAGCTTGGAGAGTCCCACCTTTTTGGGCCAAACCAATGTATGCCTCTCATGTATTGATTTGTGACTTTGCCTGTAACCCCTGTCTCTCTGAAAATGTATGAAACTGAACTGTAACCCAGCCACAGCAAGTCCACTTGGCCAAGGCCTCTTAGCAGTGGCTTCAGGTCATGGTCCTCAAATTTGGCTTAGAATAAATCTCTTTAAAATTATTTTACAAAGTTGGTTTTTTTCCGTTGACAAACTCAACACTTCTGTCTCCTCCTTGCTGACTTTGCTTCCTGGGACACTGAGAAAATAGAAGTTATCCTAGAGAACTTTCACGAGCTTTGACCACATCTCCCACTTGCCAGCAACTACTCTCCAATGTACTCTGCCTATACTAATGATGAATTGCCCACATTTCTGTTTGGGGCCATTGGATCCCATCATCACTCACCTGCTCAAGGTCATCACTCCAGCAATTCACTCCTTGCTTCTGGGTCATTTCTATCTGCAGGCAAATGTGCCATCTTGTCTTAATTAACAACCACCACTCTCCTGACTTGACTTCCTGCTCAGGCTACTGTTCATTTCTATTTCCCTTCACATCAAACTCCTTGAAAAACTTAGCTCTCCTTGCTGTTCCAACTTCTTGCCTCCCATTCCCCTTCAACCTGCTTGAGTCAAGTTTTTGTCCCTAATCACATCACCAAAACTGCTCCTCTTCATGACTTCCACATTGTTCAGCCAAATGGTTTATTCTCAGACTCCTTAGCTACATTTGAGACGGTTAATCACTCCCTTCTCTTTGAAATTTTCTGATTCAAAATTTTCTTCCTGATTTTCTTCCTGCCTCACTGGCCACTCCTTCTCAGGTCCTTTGCTGACCCTGCCCCACCTCCAGGTCCCTTTAACAATGGAGTGCCCCAAGGCAAGTCCTCAGGACATTTTTCTTATGCATCTACATTCACTCCCTTGGTCATCTAGGCTCATGGCTTTAAATACCCATCTATATGCCAAATACTCCCAAACTCCAGACTCATATATCTGACTATCTATTCTACTTCAATATCTAGTAAGCATCTCACTCTTAATCCTGATCTTCCTTTCCAAGTTCACTCTTGTCCTTCTAGCCCCTAGTCTGTTCTCAGCAGACTAGTCATGGTGATCCTATTAAAACAGAGTAGATCACATCACTATTCTATGTCAAACTCCACAGTGGCTTCTGGTCACTTGTCAAAGTCAAAGTCCTTACCATGACTTACTAGGCCCCATCCAGTCTGCCCACAGTTCAGTTCCCTCTTGTCTCTTATCAGTGTTCATTCTGCTCCAGGCACGCTGGTCTTCCGGCCACTCCCGCAACAGGGCAGTCATGCTCTTGCCAAAGGAGCTGCTCATTTGCTGTCTTTTCTGCCCAGATTGCTCTTCCCCAGGTATCTGCATGGATTGCTCCCTTGCCTCTTGTAGGTCTTTGTTCTGACATTACCTTCTTGCTGAGGCCTTCTTTAACCATGCTATTAAAATTCCAATTTGTCTATCCACCTTCTCTGATTTATCTTTCTCCGTGATACTATCGCTTTCTAACTACAGGTGTTTCTGATTTATTTTACTGTCTCCCTCACTTGCAGAATGTAAGCTCTGTAAGGGATGGGGTCTCCACCTAGGATCTGATGCATCCCCAGTGCCCAGGTCAGCACCTGGAACCATAGAAGGTTGCTCAATACACATTGATTAAATGTATGATAATAAATCTCTCTGCTGAAAGACGTGCCTGCACATGAAAACCGGTTTTCCAAAGACAGCAATCAGATCTGCGACTAAGGATCTGTCTCTTTCTAAAGTTTGTCACAAAGCTGGCAGAATGGCTGTGAGGCAGACTTCTGTGTCTGTGTGGTGGGTGAGCGTCTGCCATGAGTCCCTCACTGTCCAGTAGAACCACCGAGTCTTGCCCTTTCAGCTGAACATGTGAAATGGAAAGGCTGTGCAACATTTTTACTACTTGTTCACAGGTATTCTTTTTATTCAGTAATTATTAGGCAGCTTTGTTTTCCATGAAATGCCTCTTTTTAAATGTTATTGTAAAGGTCAAGCTTAGGAATTATTTATATCAATAGCAATAAAATAGTCTTTGAGATTGGCATATTATTATGTCTTGCATTTATTCTACTTTTTAGTCATATCAAATAACTTCACAGTTAAAATAAATACTTGCTGCCCACAATAATACATCTTGCTTTATCAGAGGTCATAGCAAAAAAGTGAATTCTGGAAATGTCTATGTGGACAGTAGCAACCCACTCTTGCACTGAGAATACTTGCTGGCTGCTTCTTGAAAAGCAAAACCTAAGTCAGTAGGGCAGGACAGTTCACATTGAGTAAATTCGAGAAAATATTTGAGAATGTGAAATTTCATTCACTCAGTTCTGATGCAGACAAGGACAAACTGCCTGTAGTTGTTCATCCCCTTCCCCCAATTATAATAATAAAAAATACAAGAAAAATTTGTAAAATTTATTCACAGTGCAGAAGTTGAGATGAATAAAACAGCTGGCAGTGGCATCTCGCCTCTGAATTTGATTTATAAAAATACCAGTGAGCTCAATTTTCTGTAATTTGCTATTTAATTTGGGGAATGATGAAGAGAGTCTTTTTTTACAGTTATAAAACTTCAGACTTTGATGTCATTTTTTATCACAGTATCGTCTGGTATTCCGAAAATGTTCTGTCAGGGGTGATCTTCGTATTTCTGGAGTTGACATTTGATAGAAGTTGGGTAACCGAATATCATAGTGATATCTTTTTCCTATATATACTCTGTCATTCAAGGCATAGAGTTTATCTGCAATGTCACTGCCAATTAAAACTGAAAACAGGCGGGAGATGTAACGATGCTGAGCAAAGAGCAAATATAATTTTTTTCTCCTCCAAGACACATACCGACAGTCAGTTTCTGCTGTGAGGGTTACCTAAAAAACATAAGAACCATATAGAAACAAATATCAGGAAGCAAGAAAAGTTCTGCCACGTTTTTTTTCTACCACAGATTTTAAATTAATTTCCCTTGCTGCCGCTTTGAAGTTAAACTAGCCCACTGACTCACAATAAGCTGTCAAAATAGAAAAAAAATACAAAATTTATTACTACGCATATAATTTATAATATGAATGATTGCAATATTGTGCCCATCTCTAATTTATCTGTTTTTCTGAGTCTGGGTAGCTATATTTTGCATTTTATTGAAGGGAGAATCACTTGATATTAAAAATAATAAAATAAAATTGGCTAATGTTAGAGAATTATTTCCAAATCAACTCTGAAGACTGTAGACATTTAACCCTAAGACAGTTTCTATAGTACAAATAGTATTTATATACCTATTTTGCATATATATGAGTTATTTGCATACACATATATATTATATGTATAATTCATAGGAAAATAGTATAGCACAATAAGTGTAACCAACTGAAATGATTATCTCTTAAAACTACCAGATGTGGCAGCAGAATAGTGACAATAAGTTTAGCATTCTGTTGCTGTAGAACAACTGAAATCCATCAGCGTTTTACATTTTAAAAATCACTTATTTTTTAATAAGTACAGTTTTTTGTTCTTGATGTTTTCTAAACTGTCACATTAGTAGTGTTTAGTCAAATCTCAATTAATTATATTTTAATTCCCAAATATGCAGTTATGCAAAGTAAAGTTTAAGAATATTTATCATGTATTCCTTCCTGTCATATATTAATATACCTGTTCTTGTTGCTGGACCTATAAAGTGGCATTAATCAACAGGAGTCAAACAGAATTGGGAAGTCAGGTATGCTGTCAAGGTACATGCCAAAGTTCGATATAAGCGATTCTTGTTCTGTTTGTTTATTTGCTTGTTTTTAAGCAAACACTGTCAGTTTGGAAGAAGGAGTATTAATTGTGTAGTCTGGTTAGCCTTTACCTGAAAAATGCCTTCCTCTGTGGGTCTTAGTGAATCCCACTCAGGAGAATCCAGGAACTGAAAAGGGAAAATGTAATGCAGAAATTCTCCATCAACTGTCACTCTGATCCTACCAAAACACAAAAACATAATTTATGAGAGAAGGATAAAGAGAATACATAATTGGGCACAGGGCAAGGGGCAGGGAAAATATATTTCAGATCTCCGATGACTTTTTTTTGTTCGTTAGAATTTTGAAAGACAAAATATTAAATTCATATAATAGTGACATAATATCCTATAAGATTCATGTACTGATGTTCCTCACACAGGATTCTAGAATATTGAGTGAAATTCAGAAAATTCAAGTTGTACATTTATGATATAGGTCCATTTATGTATACATATTATACTTTAATAAAAAGTTTCAGTATACTCAGATTTTAAATTAAGTAGGCAAACATTTAAGGACATAAGAGTTTTGCTGTAAATACCTCTGTAAACTAAAATTTTAATCTGTTTAAAAACATGAGTAATCCCATTATTGCTTTCTCCCCAAACTTTCTTTTCAAAGTTTAGATTTCTATAATATATTCTTGAGGTACCCTCTCCCTGCTTCTAGCAAGTGGGCAATTGCTAGAATTTTCTGAACAAAACATGATCATTATAAAACTTAAATGTTCTCTATTGTTTTTAAATGATATCAAAGAGTCTTGTAAAATACTTTGCATGCCAATATAAGTATTTCTATTAATTCAAGCTGGCATCATCCTCGTCTTCACTTTAGTGATTAGCTGGGAAACAAATATCATACCCAGATAAACAAATTCATACTTTAAGATTCATGTCATTTGATTTCTAAGATGAAATGTTATGGCTCTAGATTATTTCCTGCTTTGAGTAAATAATACTGTGTACTCTAAATGCCTATGTCTACGACTCATGTATCAAAGACTGTGTCAAGCCTCAGGGTGCTAAATGCCACCCAGGACTATGCTATGCTGAGATGAAAAAATATTGTGGAAAGACATACGAACAGATAGCTAATATAGAGGAAAGACATGCAAACGCCAAGGGTACAAACCTTCCTGAAACAAGCAGAGAGAGTTTATCAATGGAAGTTTTCCCCTGCATGGCATAACAATGTTCCTTTTCCAAAGTAACCACTTCAGAGCTCAAAGCAATCGTTCTGAAGACGGGCAAAGAGATCCCCAGGGGCTGGAAAAGGGAGCTGTACAACACCTGGAATTCTCGGGCAAAGGTTATACTGTGAACTTGATATGCAATATGAACAAATTGCATGAAGCAGATGACAAACAGTACAAAATTCCAGGAAAATATGTCAGCTGCACAGACATCTACCCAAGCCCAGACAGCAGAACAGAGAAAACCCAACCCCAGCAAACTGAAGACGTAAAGGAGCCCGAAGAATCCACTGCCACCCATGAAACCTACTACAAATAAAATACTGGCAAGATGATAAATGGCTCCTTCCGCCTCTTGCTTCCAGGTTATGCAGACAGGGTGTTCATCTATGAGGTTCTTCCACAAACTTGAATTTCTTTCCATGTCTGTTATTACTGTCTGGTTCACTTTTCAGATGACTTTAGATGATACCGAAGCAAGTAATTAAGTCTTTAGCTTTTCCATCATCAGAGTTTTGTTCAGTCTTCACAAAAACCAGAGAAAACCTGGACCCTGGAGTTGGTGATGACTAAAGCTCTGGTGTGTATGGATCTTGAAAAACTAAGAATCCCATGCTAGTTTCTTTAAATTCATCTGAGCTCTTGATTTAGATCTAGTCCACAAACATTTTGCTATTTCCTGCACAAAAGAAAAAAAGATAAAGGATCTAATTAAACAAAAAGGAGACTTGTGAGGTATATTTAATGAATCAGTAGCATTACTTAATGCAAGTTGACCTCTTATTTTCTGTGAAGTTAGAATATTTTAAGCACAAATACTATGGAGTGTTAAAATTTCTATGATATAAAAAGTGTATTTATTAAAATTAGCTAGCTACATATTTTTCATGGTAGCTAAGTACTCTATAATCATCTAATCTTTGTAGCAGTGCTTCAGTATATTTCAGAATCACTTGGGACAGTGAATAAAAATGCTGATTCACAGACTGTTTCCAGACATACTGAATCAGAATCATGCTGAGGGTGGGCCCCAGGTGTCTGTATTTTGAACAAGCTCCCCATGTGATTCTGATGCATTAATCCATGGTCCTCCATGGCCCACCCCTTGAGGGATACTGTCTGACAATATGTTATTTACTCTTTACACATGAAGAATTTGAGGCTCAGAGAGGCCAAGTAATTTATCACAGGCCACACAGCGGTTAGTGGCAGAGCAAAACTTCAGCACTCATGCCCATGTGCTGGATACAATCATGTGGCCTCTCATGAAAGATGTTTTAAATTTGGCACTGTAAGGAGCCCTACTAAATTAATAAACATAATAAATACACAATTAGTCATTTTAAGAACACTAATAGACTGTGAAAATGTTTAATAAGTTAGATTTAAATTATTTGAAAAATATAAATCTACTACTACTTTGCTGTGTTAGTGGTTATTTCAGGTTAAAGGTTGCATCCGTACAACTAAATAAATACTAATACTCTTGCTACTTACACATGTATTTACCAGATGGTAAAAAATGTTACTGACTCTACTCCTCTGCACATACATTCTCTACCCTTTCAGCCATATGGTAAAAATGCTAATATGAGATCTGAGTGAGGAGAGAATTAAGCCTTAATGACAAAGCTAGAGAATATATGTATCATTTGCCACCAGTTTCCTAACAATAAGTAGTTTCAATGTAAGGCATTCATTAGATTGCTTTTTTTTAAAAAAAAAGCCATAATAGCATTTAAAAACCTTGAACTTGTGTGTGATATTTAGTTTTTTATTTTTGAAATACATTATTTACAGGACACCTGTTAATATCAGGTATCACAGATCTTGTCCCATGGCAAGAAAAAAATACACAGAGGTGAAAATGACTTAACTGGAGTAAAAAAGCGAACAGTGTAATCATCAATAGAACTAGAAATGGAAATAAAGGACCTACTGTTGTTGACATTCCTGGTTTTTTCATCTTGGATAGTGATTCTTTTCTCAGCAAGCAATGACTTTAAAAAGGAGAGAATCATTGAAAAAAAAGAAAAAAACTTAAAGCTACAACTTACAGTCATATTGTTATTTTTACTTAATGGCATTTCAAACATTCTGCATATCCCTAATTATTCTCCTCCCCTTCCCAATAAATCTATGAGATGATGAAATTCAAGGCAGACAGGCATCCAGAACACATTCAATTTCTCCTCTTTTAAACAAAACACAAAATTCTATACCACCAGATAGTCACAACAAAGAAAAAATTTTTTAAATACAATGGGTGGTGAGAACTGCAAAATACCAGCCTGGAAATGTCAGTCTCCCTGCTGTTTTACTTTTAAAACTAGGGTATTTTAAATCAATCAATTCTTCAGGATACCAGACATAGCCACGAAAGCCAATATTAAAAAGAATTGCTAGTAGAGCTCTGAACTTTGGTTTGACCTTCCTTAAAAATTTATAATCCTTAGTGCAATGTTAAAATGATGTTAATAGAGAAAGGTCATGTAAAATGTTTGTGGCAATTCAGAAGGGAGTTCTGGGAATCTTGTCCCCTTAAAAATCATGATCTGGGGGGTGTACTGTGGGCCTGCATTCCAGGAGTGTGACCCATTATAAGAACTGTGCTTCTGGCTACTTCTATTTCACTAAGCTGTTACCAAACCATCTTTCCGTCCTTGATACTGTATTGCTCAACGCAGCATGCTAACTTGCCCTGATTAAATTACTCCACACCCAGCTTTCCTCCACTTGGTGTGTTTTTATTCAGTCACCAAAACAGATGTACTCTATTAGAAGAGGGAGAACTGACAGGGACAGGTGATGACCAGGATTGTCCTTCCGATATGTGCCAGCAGCACTATAGGAATACTGAATATGATTCATCAACCAGCTGCTTGCCTTAAAGGCCCGTTGGCCTGAAGTCATGTTTTTGTGTAAATAAATGCTGACATGCCAAGGTGGCACAATGAATTTCTTCCCTAGGCAATACACTTGATATTCCCCGCAAAAGAAGTTAGCACACTGAGCTACAAATGATGAAGGCAAATTTAAGTGCAAATAAACACAATGGTTCTGAGCTCACCCCTTTTTTCTCTTTAAATTGTAAGACTCTGAGTTATAAAGAATTAAGGAAATATAAAAGAAGATAAAAGGATGCTCAGTGAAATGCAGTATAAACCTGGTGACGAATGGATGAAGATTAGCTCAGGAATTGTGTTTATCTGTTCAGAACTTCTACATTTATTATGTCTTTGCATCACACTCCTTGCCAGGAGGGAGGCAGAATCTAAATCACTGTGCCCAGCTTACAAATGAGAAAAGCAAGGCACAAAATTAAGTCATTGGCTTTGGGCAAAAGATGCGGTAAGACATACAGCAGCGTGGAAGCTCAAGTCCCCTCCGTCCTGCTTCAATCAGACCCTCTCCAGCAAGCAATGCCACCTCTCAAGGCTGTGAATCAGATATTAATGTGTTGGGAAACCGAAGTGGGATATTCTTCCAGGACTGCTTTGCCATGAAAATAAAAATCCCAACAGTGGATAATTACAACTTGCTATACGTCTGCTTGCACTGCTCAATGCATAATGCTTAGAATACCGCTGGGGACATAGACAGCCATTCACAAAATAATTTGCTGTATTGGTATTCAACATTGACTGACTTCCTCTCCTACACCCTGAAATCTTAAAGGGCAGCAAGGCCTCTGACATTCAATGAATGCTGACTGATTACACTGGTATAGAAGTGCAGGGCTTCTCTGCCTTGTCCATCCTCAATCTAATGGATGTTATAACGTCTTCTGTCACCCAGGGGCAGAGAAGTGGGGACGTACAAGATACTTCAAGATACATACAAGATACTTCAACATAGAGACACTGAGGAGTTGGTGCATCACATTTTCAAAATGTCCACAACCCCAAATTCACAAGAGAATCCTTTTGTCTGCATACAGCCTTGAGCTCCTTAAGAGCAATTTAATTACTGCATTGATTGACAACAACAACCACTTGGTAGCCAGTGGCATTGAGTTAGTTTTGGTTTCAAGGCAACCCACAAGCTCAAAATTCCCTCAATATTCTACTCAAATTAATTGGAATCAGAGCTCAACTTTGCTATGTTTTCCCTATGCTAAATTATCATTTTCTTAAGTGGGTCCTCTTCTGCTTATCCTTGAGGTGGTACATTTACTCAGCAACTATGTGCCAGGTGTATTTTAAAAATGATCTAATTTAACAATCCCAGGAGGAAGATACTATTATCTCCATTTTACAGATAAGAAAATTGAAATTCAGAGAAGGCAAGTTGTTCAAGGTCACACTGTTTATAATGGAACTGGGTTTCCATCCAGGTCTGCCTGATTCCAAAGCTCACAGTCTATACCACATTATTCTGCTTCCACTACACCGGGATTTAGAAAATGTAGGATTTAATCTCCTCTCTACTACTTAGGTGAACTCAGGCATGTTTATTCATCAGTAAAGCAGAGGAAATATCACCTATTCTATTTTAAAGGGTACTAGAAGGTTCAAATGAGAAAGTCTATATTAAAAAAATTCTTTGCAAATATTAAAATAATATAGAAATAGCACCACAGTATTTGCTGCTTGTGTATTATAGAGCTAGGCCATTAGGAGAATATAGTTTTTAAAAAGCTTTCTTTCCCCCAGATGATTGCAAGTGAAGACAGAAATTCAGATGAGTCACTTCTGGTTGCCATCAATCTTTAAATCATAAGTTCTAAATTTACTCATTTCTGCACGGGTGATCTGTGTGTTATTCTCCCCAACTTGTGTTCTGACCTCCTACTGGTAGAGGTATAGAACTGTAACCGACCTACCCCTGAGTATTCCATTTCCAGTGGCCAAAAGCTAGTTTCTGGAAGTCAACAACATTCTTCTACCTTAGATTAATGTTTAGTGCCGCGCCCCCCCCCAGTATAACTGAGCCAGGCTCTATGGGGTAGGATCCAGAGAAATCCATTTCTAATAAGCTCCCAGTTGTTTCTTCTGCACACTAAAGTTTGAGAGCCATTACTTATGTAGTTCCTGATGATCTCTGAATTACCTTTGCCTCTTTGCAGGACCTCAGTTTCGTCTATTCCTGGCTGACCACTGGCTGCCTTTCCACACTGATTATTTGACATCATGCTTTTCGGTTCTAGTTGTCCATGGGAGGTAATGCTGGTGTTAGCTCCTCATTCTCTTATCTAGACTATCCAGCTTGCATTACTGTTAAATACTTAAGAGTCTTAGTTGTGCCTCTAAATAGCTATGTGTTTTTAATCTTCCTAGACCTGTTTCCTCATTAGAGAAATGAATTAGACAACATAGTAAGAGGTCCCTTTAGCTCTAAAATAACATGACTCTATATGATATAGAGTAGAAGATTATTCCAAACATAGGTCAAAATACAGAGTTGAGTGGCAGAACTGAATTAAGACTGCAGGTCTTAACACCTGGTTTCTGATTGGGGCCCAGCTCCAGAGATTGTTACTTAATTGACCTATTGTGTTGCCCAGGCATTGCTATTTTTTTCACAAACTCCCCAGGGATTTTGATGTGCAACCAGGGTTAAGAACTATTGAACTAATTTAATAGATAGGAAAGGGTAAAGAGGCAGGGTAAGAGATACCACAACACTCTGCAGAGTAAAGGATCTGGATTTTAATCCTCAGTTTTAAGGGGCTGCAAAGATACCTTTTCTCCTGGTGTGTCCTCATTTCCATCCTTTGCTCAGGAGAGGAGGCATTTTCCTTCCTCAAACTTACCATTCTAGGAGGGCTCAAGACTTGTGGATATTTTGCAGCAGCCGTTCCTGACCGTGGTGGCCTGAAAGGCTCCTTCAGGGCTTTGAGTTTTTATGGCCTTTATTATCTGTCTACATGGCTTCCATCACATATTGTGTTATATTGACCATTGGCCATTATATATATTTTTTTCCTTTTTAAAGTATCACAATTTGCTTATTTTCTCAGTTGGGGTACCTATTGAAACATTTTTTATAAAAAGAAATGAACATGGTGTATGTATATTAAATAACAGCTTTATTTACTGGTCATTATATATATATATATATATATATTTGAAATTCTCCTCTGTCTAGAGCAGAGTTGGTCTTCAGTAAATGTCCACTGACTGATGAAGATAACAATGTGCAGGTAGAAAAGCAGTGTTTGGAATACAGTTTTGGAACAAGCCAGTTAATAAGTGAGAAGGCTCAAGTAGGATATGACCAATACCTGAATCAATGAATTAGAAAAAAAAAAGGCACCACGATTAAACTATAAGGAAGAAATGAAAGGATCTGTTGAGAGAGAGGGACAGATAAGGGTTGAAGACATTTTTTATTTACATAAGATTTAGAAGTTAAGGAAGAAATCAGAGGAAAAGGGTTTTAGTCATGTTTAACCTGATGCTTTTGGTCTAGCAGAATGCACAGCAGAAAATAATGAGTAGGATGCTGCAAGAGATATTTAACAGTTACTATCACATAGGACTATGCTGAATAAAGACTGGAGGTAGCACAATTATTAAGAAAGTGAGTATAAGGAGAAATGAGAGTCTGTTCACAATGAATTTTTGAAGATGGTACAAAAGAAAAGAATATGTTGTTAATGTTTACATTGATTACATGTTGAAATGATAGTGTTTTGAAAATAGGTTAAATAAAACCTATTATTAAAGCTATTTTCATCTGTTCTTTTAAAAAAATGTAGTTATTAGAAAATTTAAAATGACATGTGGCTTGCATTGTATTTCTATTGGACAGTGCTGGTCTAGAGTCTCTCAAGTAACAGAGGAATGAAAACACTTGGCATGATGCTGTGCAAACAATGCATGATACATAAATACATAAATACGGAAGAATTATCCAAGAGTAAGATCAAAGTTGATATAAATGTAAATGATATTGGCTACAATATTCTTATGCTACCAACAGTCAGATGTTACCCAAGGGACAGATGTTACCACTGGTTTCTGCCTGCAGGGGTGGCCCTCTAAAGCTCTTGGTCCCTTTATCCTACAGAGGGAAGCACCACATTTTCCTTTTGCCTTAGGAGAGTTCCACTTTCCCAAGTAGTTTGTTACATGTTAATTTTCTCATTTCATCTTCTGATGATACCTCATAGAATTTACTGGAAATCACAGACAATCTCATGATTTTTGTACTGGCAGTTGGATTGTGGCCTTCTAGATTCCAGAGGGTCCACACCAGCCTTTGCTTTTACACAATACGTGGAGACTCTTCATGCACCACTAGTGTCCTAGGCTGGAGTATGCCTTTGATCTTCCTTACCAATGAGGACTTCAGGAAATTAGAAAACATGCCCACAGGCTATGCTGGACTTCTCTGTTTTCATGTTTCAGCTAACTGTCAGATTTGATTATCTCTAACCATGAGGGATCTCTCACTTTATCACCCACTGTGGTAGGCAGAATTCAAGGCTCCCCCAAGATTCCTGCCACCTGGTGTACACACCCTGTATAATTCCCTGCCCTTGAGTGTGAGCAGAACTTGTGAATGGGATGGGATAGATGCTCCCTTGATTAGTTAACATTATATGGCAAATAGTGGTGGAATAGTAACTCTCATGATTATGTTAAGTTATACAGGACTCTCCACCACAGGACTGGAAAGAGACTGGACATCAGAGAGAAGTGCTCCTACTGGCCTAGAAGAAAGCAAACATCCATGTTATGAACTGTCTATGGGGTCTCCAAGGAAAGGAACTATGAGCTGAAAGAAGTCTTCAACCAACAGTCAGCAAGATAACTGGCACCTTAGTCCTGTAACGGCAAGGATTGTGTTCTGTGAGCCACCTGAGGACTGTGGAAAAGGATGCCAAATTCCAAATGAGAAGCGCAGTGTGCCTGACACCTTGACTGCAGGCTTAGAGGCCCTGAGTAGGAGATCCAGTTCAACAGTGCCTGGAGTCCTGACCCACGGACTGGGAGATTGTGGTAATTTTCTACACAGCAACAGAAAACTCATCACACACATACACACACAATTATGAGTACTTGCTATACATAGGCTTTTAATTAATCCAATAATCTATATTTTATGATGGTCTTAAAAGTAAATGGAATTACATTAAATTCACTGTGTTTCCCAGCCTCATTTTTAGAGGTTTTCCTTTCCCAGAATTAGGTGGCCCCAAGACTGTTATGTATTTGAACACATGGATAACTTCCAGAATAGTTATGATATTCATACACCAATCTGTCATATTCCTGGAATACCATGTTTCCATGGTTGACTTTCAGCTTAGTCAGTTTTTTGTGAAATTCAGCCATACAGATAGGGCAAACGATGTTTCAGACATATCCAGACATTGACACAAAATGCAGCCCATAGAAACTCAAAATCAAGTGCTCTGTAATTCCTCAAGGTGTGTGACTCCACCAACGTCAGACAAGTTGAGCCATGGGAATGCAATATCCAGTTGCCATCTTGTTGATTCTCATATGCTACCAGCATCTAGCATTTACTTAGTACTTACTGTGTGCCAGGTACTTTTCTGAGGATCTTAAATTATATCACTTAATCCCCTCAACTTTTTGAAGATAGTTTTATTGTCCCCATTGTACAGATGAGAAAACTGAGGTATTGTGGAAGTTAAGTAGGTTGCCTAAGGATACCAAAATGACAGAACCCAGATTCACTCCCAGACAAGAAGATGCCATTGTCTGCTCTCTTAACTACCATGGTATACTGCTGCATGTACAATTTGATATCTGGAGTTGAACAAATCAACAACATCCTTGTTTTTTTCTCATCAGTTTTAGATTCAAATAATTTAAATGTCTTCTTAAGAAACTACAATTTTTGAGCCAAAGAAGAATGGGAGAGTGGGTCCCACCAGTTGAGTCCCTTCATCCCTATAATTAAAAAATTAAATAAAAAATAAATAAATAAAAAATAAAATCCCTATAAAAAATAAAAACCCTATAAATAAAAAATCCTTGATTTGAAGAAGCAGCAGTAAACCTCTCCTTCTCAAGCTTGCCATTTGGCTGCTTTAAATAGTTGACAGGATCTGCTCAAGTTCTTCTGACTTCTGCATACCCTGGAAATGGTTAAAGGCTTAAGCAGGAAGCCATTCCCCTTTTATCAGCTACTATAACATCATGTGGCAAGTTTACCAGAGAAGAGATTCCTGATGAAAGATGCAAGAAAAGCTGGACACATTAAGCAGTCTTTTCTTGATAAGAATCAATGGTAGGCACCTTCATTTCCCTTTACTCCAAGGGACCTATATGCAGAACACAAACTCACTTTTTCTATGTTTAGATCAGGTTCTCAAATTCGTTCCTAGCAAACAGCTCTAACAGGGTCATGAATGCTAGTTAATTGGCTATAATCACACCACTGCACTTGGCTATAATCTCTTTTTTTCTGGCTAAATAATGAGGTGGACCACACACCTGCATCAGAGCACTCACTTTTGGCCCTTAATCATATTTGGACTTCTTTAGTACAGGGAATGCCAGGTGTAGGTATCACCCTTGTTGTCTCAACAGCATGACACTTAACAGCACTTCTATGCTACTTTGAATCAACAAGAATCAGTTCTGCTATAATACAACATATGTAATCCTGAACAATCACTGCACTATGCAAAACTGTGCAATAAAAACCATAGGGCTGGGCGTGGCGAGGTTGCTCACACCTGTAATCCTAGCACTCTGGGAGGCTGAGGCAGAAGGATCGTGCTTGAACTCAGGAGTTTGAGACCAGCCTGAACAAGATGAGACCCCATCTCTACTAAAAATAGAAAAATTAGACAGGCATCATAGTGAGTGCCTGTAGTCCCAGCTACTTAGGAAGCTGACTTTAGATCATGCGCTTTTTGTTTAATCACATTTTTCCACAGTTGTCAATCATGCCCATGTAATGAAGCCTCCATTAAAACCCAAGAGGACTGGGTTCTGAAAGCTTCCAGATAGCCGTGGAAGTTCCTCGAGGGTGGCATGCCCTGGGAGCCACGCCCCTTCCCCCATGCCTCGCCTTATGCATCACTTCATCTATATCCTTTGTAATATCCTTTATAATAAACTAGTAAACATAAGTAAGTATTTCCCTGAGTTCTGTGAGCTGCTCCAGCAAATAAATCAAACCCAAACAACGCAGGTATCATGGGAACTCCCACTTGAAGCAGATCAGTCAAAAGCTTTGGAGGCCCAGAGTTGCACCTGGTGTGGGTTGGGGAGTAGTTTTGGGGCCTGAACTCTCACCTTGTGAGATCTGATACTATCTCTGGGTAGATAGTGTCAGACTTTAATTAGAGGACACTTAGCTGGTGTCCACTCCTTGGTATGTGGAGAAAAACCCCACATTTGGTCACAGAAGTCTTCTTCTGTGTTGTTGATTGTTGTGGAGTTTAGAGGAAAGCACGGTTTGAGGAGAGGTTTTCTAAAAGCACTCTGGGGCTGAGAGGAGCACTTGTGCAGCGTGTGGGGATTTACTTTTAAGGTGTTCCTGTAAGGCTAGTGTTTTCTCCTGGATTGTGAGAAATATTGTTCGCTGTTTGGTCCTCAATCCAAATGCCCAGCAATCTTTCCATTTCTTAAAGCCTGGTTGTTATTGATTTTGCAGGACTTGAAGTTACTCTTTGATGACCCACAATGTGTATTATTCCCTTATTCTTGCTGCTTAGGAGATACCACATGTTCTCATGACTCTCAAAATGCTTGATTATTTCAAACTTCTCTTCATTATTCAAGCTTTCCTTTTGCATGCACTATTTGGCATTTTTGAACTATAATGCTTAGTCATACTTGGGATAGTAAATGAGCATGTTTCTATATAGGAAAGTTCAGAGTGTGAAAGAATCGCAAAATGTAAACTTGCAGGATAATACGTGGTAAACCAAGGTAGCTGGCAGATGTTTGAGATGTGTGTGTGTTTGAGTTTTTCTATGTGGATTAGGTCAGCTGATTATACTTTAATGCATTCACCCAGTGTTTCTTGTGGGTAAACTGTGCATAAGCAAACACAAAAGCTCCATTCTGCTTCAGTTGTTCCCTAATATATCAATTGTGTTAAAATAATGCTTACTTTCAAAACAAGCATTATAGCATAATTAACTACATCATTAGCTCTAAAATGGCCATTAAAATATTATTAATTAATGTATATAATAATTCAATAACTCCTTGCCCTCATGGAGCTTGCATTTTAGTGAAATTCAAAATGTTGACACTATTTAAGTCCAGTTTCTGAATTATAAGGTCTATTTTAAATAGCTTAAAATATACCTTATATGAAAATAAACTACTTAAAACTCATTTAAAGTCAGTCATTGAATACTAAATTTTAAATAAAGGCTACATTTTAAAAGACAGTCTAAAGTCTTAAAAATCAGAAAGCAAACAAGCCTGTATTTTAGAATTTCATCAAAGACCAAGAAAAAAAGAAAAACCCTCAAAATAGGTTTATATGTTTATCCAGGGATACACAGTATTTTTCTTTTCTAATCCTTAGCAACAAAACTAATCATGCCTAAAGGATATACTCAAAACCCATACTCATTACAAAAAACAATTATGTTCTTATGAATTTACATATAAAGACAAAAAAACGTTTCACTACATAAAATGTTTCATTAAATAATTAAGCAATAATTAGTAGGATTAATCCTTTTATTAAATTATCCTATGAAAAGATTTTACATTCATCCTTTTATTAAATTATCTTATGAAAATTTTATTAGCACATTACCTTTTTCTTTTTCCTTAGAGACAGGGTCTCACTTTGTCACCCAGGCTGGAGTGCAGTGGCATGATCATAGCTCACCGTAACCTCAAACTCCTGGACTCGATCTATCCTCCTGCCTTAGCCTCCCAAAGCACTGGGATTACAGGTGTGAGCCACTTCATCCAGCCTACATTTACCTTTTAATTTCTTGCCATGTTAACATCATTGCACATATTAACGGTGAATATTTATATCTGTTAACAATAGTTGCTACAATATATTTTCAGAATTTTTAAAAAATTCTTTAAGACCTCAGTTTCACAAAGATTTTGATGAATATCAGTACTTAATAGTCAAGCATTTCTTTTCTCATTACATTTCTTTGGTCATACGAGACAAAACTCCTTGGTATTGGCTGACAGTACATATTTAAATGAAAATTACAAGAACTCTTTTTAAAAAGTGTTCTTTGAGGTTGTGATCAGAGGAGAGCAGCATGGCACAGTAAATGTACACAACTAGACACAAAAGGACAATTGCTGTGTAGGCAAAACTTCAAAGGCCAGATCTGGCTTCAAGTTGTCAGTCTGCAGCCTCAAGAACTCAGAGCTGCTAAGGTCCCTATTGGATGGAGTGAATCTACACTAAGTTGATCTCATTTACATCTTTTTATAGTTTGCTTTCTCTTTTTTCTAAACAAAATTTCTTTATCAGGAATTACTTTCACCCATAGTGCAATTAAAATCTTTATATTAAATTTCCTTTCCTATCTAGCCAAGTCTTCATCAAAGATGGTCCACTAGTTGATGGATTCCTGTAAGTTGCCAAAATTTCATTTAAACTTGAAAATGAACACAAAGAACAGAAAACAAAGCTTAGATCCCACAACAGAACTTCCAAACAGAATGTTTTAAAGTGTTTTTGTTTCTCTCTTTTTTTCATAGTGGTTAAATTTCCTTTTATGACAGAGGAAAAAAGGCACCATCTATCCTTCTTGCACTGTGGCTTCCAGAACAATTAAAATGTAACATGTGTTTGGAACTTGAATTTTAACACCACCCCTCCCCAATCTTGAATGGAGTAAAAAATATAGTAAGTAATAATAACTAGCATCTGTTGAGTAGCAACCCTATATCAGAACCCGTATGAAATACTTCACAAATGTCATTCCAATGCCATAAGAATACTGGGGGCAAGAGGGAAGGATCATTATTTTTCTGTTTTTCAAGAAAGGAAACCTCTTTAAAAAAAACAATTAGCCAAGTTAGAATACAAATATCCTCATTTCTGCTGTTTATACCATTCTGTATTTTCATTTATGAATCAGTTATATTTTAATCATTTAGACAGTAACTGTGAATGCTGAAAAAAACAAATGAGAAATTAAAACAGAAAATAATCAATTCAGAGGACAAAGACAAGATGGTGTAAGAATAATTGATGTCTTTGAAGTAGAGATTACAAAATGGAAAAGAAAAACATTCATAATGGAAAAAAATCCTCCTGAAATTAAGAACAACAGATTATCCCAATAGAAAGAATGCATGAAGTTCCATAAAAAATTGATATAGAACTTAACCATGATATAGCCTAGCTGAGTTACTAAACTTCAAGAATAGAAAGAGTACTTTAGGACTCGAGGTAGAAAAAGCAAGTCAATTGCATGGAGGAAAATTTTGAGGCAAACCTAAGACTTTTCCATGGCCACATTATATTCCAGAAGCTAATGGACCAAGAGCTGCACTATGTAAGGAAACTATGGCCCAAAAATGTTAAAATGAGTCACATGGTAATTCAAGTACAGATGCTTTTCGACTTACAATGAGGTTACATCTGAATAAATCCATTGTAAGTTGAAAATATCATAAGTCCAAAATGCACTTTTGACATAGTTTCAATTTACAATGACAATGAGTTTATATAGACACAACTCATTATAAGTCAAGGAGCATACTGAATGTGTCTTGCTTTTACACAACTGTAAAGTTGAAACATCATAAGTCAAACAATTGTTAAGTTGGAGATTGTCTGTATAGAAATAAAATATGGACCTTTTTAATACAAAAAGACACAGCAAGAAATGAGCCCTCTTGGGGGAAAAATAAACCCCAAACACGTGCCAATCAAAGGATAAATGAAAATTTTAAAGTTGATACTTGAGATGCCATGGTAAAAGAACTAGTGATCAGCAATGATTCTAGTTATAAAACCAAGAAATAATAATGGCTGAAATAAGGTTCACAAAACACACTGCAAAAGTTATAGATACAGCATGAAAACATATATATCAAAAACATTGGGATATAAGTAGAAGTGAAACTATAGGAAGTATAGTATAAAAGTGCCAATGCTTCATCTTTTATAACAGGGAGCCCCTGACTGTACATGTTTATGACTAATATATGTGTAAAAAATTTTGACTTCAAGATGCATTCAGAATCTCTTTTCTTTTTTTTTTTTTTCTTTTGAGACAGAGTCTCGCTTTGTTGCCCAGGCTAGAGTGAGTGCCATGGCATCAGCCTAGCTCACAGCAACCTCAAACTCCTGGGCTCAAGCAATCCTCCTGCCTCAGCCTCCCGAGTAGCTGGGACTACAGGCATGCGCCACCATGCCCGGATAATTTTTTCTATATATATTAGTTGGCCAATTAATTTCTTTCTATTTATAGTAGAGACAGGGTCTTGCTCTTGCTCAGGCTGGTTTTGAACTCCTGACCTTGAGCAATCTGCCCGTCTCGGCCTCCCAGAGTGCTAGGATTACAGGCATGAGCCACCGTACCTAGCCAGAATCTCTTTTCTTAATTGGGAAGACATATTTAGAACCGGTTCTCTCTCAGGATAAAGAAACACTGATGTCAAGTTATAATTCTTTCACTTTCACTACTGTTTCTTCTTCTGTTAATATATCATAAAATTTTTATTTTAAAAAGTATCTCTAGTATTATCCTATTGAAAGAAAAACTTTAGACAAATGAAATTTAACAGACTTTATTTGATCAAAGAACTATTCATGAATCAGACAGCACTCAGAATCAGAAGAGGTTTAGGGAGCACCACCCAGTAGCATGAGCAATGAGCTATTAAAAGCTGAACACAGAAACAAAGTAGAGAAATCACTTGATTGGCTACAGCTAGGCATCCGTTTTATTTGGGTATGGAGTGATAAGCTGGCTGCCTGTGACTGGCTGAAGCTTGGCTGTTTGTAATTGGTTAAAACCTGGCTATGTGTTATAAAAAATAGACTCCTAAGTCAGGTTTCTGTTTGTTTACACACAAGTTAGGTCAGTTAGTCAGTTTTTTACATAGGAACTCAAAAGTAGGGAAACAGCCTTAGGCTAATGGCTATTTAACAATCTTATTTTTTATAAAGTATTTCTGTCTTTTATCTAGCAATATATCCTATTTGTATAAATGCATATGGAATGATTTTTACTTATTGTTAAAGATGAGTATTTCTGGATTGTGAGATACTTCTCATTTTTTTCTTTTTATATATCTGCATTGTTTGCATTCCTTATAATTTTAGAAAATAAGAAAGTGAGTTTATATTAATTTGAAAATTTTTAACCATAAAAATTTCAAAAAAATAATAAAATCCATGAACCCAACAACCAGAATTAATAAACATCAGCAGTATATTTTCTTTAGATCCTTTCATAATAAAGAAAAATTCCACAAAAAAGTTGAACACCACCATGAATTGTTCTCCAATACCATTCTCTGCCCACCCACTCCCTATATAGTATATAATTTGTGTTTATCCATATTTATATGTTCAATAATAAAAAATACAATTTAAAATGAAAGTCTAGATTAGAAATGTCTTTTATAATGTGATTTTTTTCAGATTCAAACTCAAAAAATTTTTTTGAATAATTTTAAACATGCACAAAAATAGAGAAAATAGTACATAATAAATACCCATATGCCCATTACGTAGGTCGAACAATTATCAAAACTTTGCCACACAGAATTTTTGAAATTAAAAGGAAAACCTGTAACCTAGTGTTCGGTCTATAATTTGTTCAGTGAATAAAATACCTTCTACAGAAGACAGGGAGAACCAAGGAAGACAAGGAGAACCAAGATTAGCTGTGCAATTACTAACCAATAATTAGTATGTGTAAGCATTAGATCTTACATAGACTGACCCGTCTAGGAGTTACAGCAACTCTGCTATCTCTGCTACAGCAACTCTGCCATCTAACAACTCTGCCATTGTTCAGAGTGGAAAATGAAGCTTGGAGAGAGAGGGAAATTCTTCTTCAAGCTTAGCCAGTTGCTTATCTTTCTAATACTACCCTACACCCCCTTCTTGATTATTCCATCTTGGCCAATTTCAGAGTATATGAAAGCCACTAAAGGTTTGGGTTTGGCGCTCACACACTCTGAAACTGTTAAAGAACACAAAGTGAAAAGGTCTCACTTTAGGTCCATATGAATTAGTCCCTGGATTCTCTGGGTTGGAGGAGGACCCAGCATTTTTATAGGTAAAGTAAGTCAAGAACGTTTGGTTATTTATTTTTTTTTATTTAATTCAGAAAATACCTGTTGTAACTTCTACTTTAAGACTCCTAAGTACTTATATAAAAGGGAGAAACATGTCCTCTCTTCCTTTAAAAGAATCTAATCAATGATTCAATATACTCCTCTATTAATTGTAGATAAATTCATACTCTCTGTAGTTTATAATTCCAGTTAACCAATGACCATAATTAACAAATAATGATCTCAATTGCAGTTTACAGTCTTGTGGATCAATCGTGGATATTTTCCAAAGCAGTTTTGAAATTTCTTGCCTGCCATGTTGCTTATGTGTTGTCATACTCACATATTGCAGCAAATGCATCATAACATTCTTGATCTTTCCTGGAGAACTGTTTCAAAATAAGCTCAGTGTGTCAACACTATTAGTCAGCCTTGTGGTAAGAAGTACAGGATTTTGGTTGCCCATGACACATTTTTATTTAATAGCATAGAATATAACCTTTTAGAAGCACAGGATGCACAATGATTCAGCTATTTTGAGAGACTGATATGATTAAAGAAACTCAATTATCAAATGTCTAAATTTAAATGTATAAAATTTTGAGGACAGATAATATCTTCCTCTAGCTCTCAATTAATATTTGTATCCCAAACTCCCGAGGACACACACACAGATTTTTCAGGACAGCAGAGAACCTCAGAGATTATATGGGATGGATCTGGGATCAGCCAGAACTCTTCATTTTTAAAATGTGGAGTCTGAGATCCAGTTTTTGCTTATATTTTCTGTTCCATGTAGTTCTTGTTTGGTTTCCTATTGCCATAAAGAATAGTGCCAAGTTACCATACTCTCACAAGAGGGATATTTTCATGCAACAGTCCCTAGAATTTATAATAAGAGAGAGAGAGAAAAAATAGCCACCAAACTATGAACAGGCAATTTTTTTAAGGCTGCCATAAAATTCAATTGCAGTTTGTAGGCTTGCAAATTCAAAATACGTTAAGTACCAGAGTTAAGAGTGAAAAGTCAAGAAAGAAGTTTAGTAAATAGATTTACGTTCAAAAGTGTTTCTAATTTTACCTTCCATTTATTATTTTAAAACAATTTTTCAATTTCTGCAAATGTCTTCTAGCTAAAACAATTTTTTTGTCCTAGCCCCTTACTGTATTTTGTGCCTTTAATCTTCTACTAAAGTAGACCCTCAAAACTATACCACTGTAACCGACCTTGGTGATCAGGTACTTTTGTGGTTGTCAAATTTCTTTGTTTCTCCTTTGTATGGCAGGGGGAATCCCCAAATAGAAAAAACAGGTCAATGCGACCTTTGATGAGACAGCATTTTCGTGCCCCCAACTCGGTGAGAAAACACTGACCACAGTCGGGCCCTTTGCTTTCAGAGAGGGATGGGGGGTGGGGATTCCCGACAGTGGCGCGACTTGCCCATTACCCAAGGTGAAACCAAGATTGTCAGGGCCCCTAGGACCCGCTTTGCTCCTCGCAAATCTGGCCTGTTTCTTTGGGCTCCAAGGTGCCTGGGGCAAGAGTGAGACCTGTGGGAGAAGATCTGGGAAGATTTGCCTGAAAGTCTCTCTGGCAGACGACTCGCGTTCCCCAGGGGCCCGCGCGCTGAGCCGCGAACGGCGCCGCCCGGATCCCCAGACGCGCAGTTGGCTTGAGAGGCGCGGGCAGCGCAGGGACGCTGGACCGCGGGGCACAGGCGCTCCCGGGGGTCGGCGACCTCGCTGCCCCCACCCCTGGGCTGGGCCGGGGCAGAAGCTGCGCCCGCAAAGTTGCCCGAAGCGGCCGCGGGGTGCGAGGGTGCGGACAGCTCCGGAAGGCGACGGGCTTGGCGCCCCTGGGGTCCCCTCCTTACCTTTCATTTCCCGGCCCTGCGCGGAGCTCCGGCCCAGCAGGGCTGCAGAAGTTTCCCAGCCGAGCGCGCTGGCACCGGGTGGCCCGCGCGGAAGCCCGCAGCACCCACCTTGCGAGCGCCTCGGCGCCCGCCCTGCGCCCGGACGCAGCGTGACTGCAGCCTGCTCCGGAGCGGCGGCGACGCGAACCGGGACCGGGCACGGGCGCGCGCCCCGGGGCGCAGCGGGGACGGCGGCGGCGCCTCGGGCAACCCAAGTCCCCAGGGAGCAGGCGGTGCAGCCACCCGTGTGCGGGACTGCTGCGTATGCGAGCGGCCTCTGCGGACTAAAGTTTCCAAAGATGTGCTTACCTGAGCGTGCGCCGCTCAAGGTTATAAACTATACCTAATATTCGCTGATACACCAGGCAGGGAGCGATGGAGCTGACTATTGAAATGAAAGGGAATATTTGGGAATATTTGGGTGTATGAGACAGAGAAAGGTTAATATGGTGTCTTTATTCAAATGAATAAACATCGCAAAAAGCAAATGGGTAGAGGACATAGACAATCTTTAAAGGAAAAAAATTTAAAGCACAAATGACAAAAAAAGTTGAAATCAATAATAAGTAAATGCATACAATTTAAAGAAATAATAAAGTGCATTTTTTTCTTCCTATGCAATTAGCAAAGTTTAATTTTGTTTTGGTGACAAAATCGTGTGGTGGTCGGGGAGGGACCAGTAAAACACACAACTTATTCAAGTATTTCATCTCCTTCCCTCTTTTTCATTTTGTATAAACGTTGGTAACAATAATTTCAGGAACAGATTTACTGAGTAATCAATGTCTCTTCTGAGCCCCAGAATAACCACAAAACAATGAATATAGATGGTAAAATTAACTCCCTTTCATTGATGCTGGAACTAAGGATTTAAAAAATACCCATATTGCTACACCCCATAAGTCAGCAGTCCACAACCATTTTGGGCACCAAGGACCAGTTTCATGGAAGACAATTTTTCCACGGATGGTGGGGGGAGGTGGAATGGTTTCAGGATGATTCAAGCGCATTACATTTATCCTGCGGCCAAACCTCTCTGCTAAAGATAGTCTGTATTTGCAGCTGCTCCCCAGCGTTAGCATTGCCGCCTCAGCTCCACCTCAGATCATCGGACATCAGATTCTCATAAGGAGCATGCAACCTAGATCCCTCACGTGCACTGTTTACAGTAGGGTTCATGCTCCTATGAGAATCTAATGCTGCTGCTGAACTGACAGGACGTGGAGCTTATGCGGTGATGCCAGTGATGGGGAGGGGCTGTAAATACAGATGAAGTTTCCCTTGCTCGCCCACTGCTCACCTCCTCCATGCAGCCCGGTTCCAGGCAGGCCACAGACCAGTACTGGTCCATGGCCCAGGGGTTGGATACTACAGCCATAAATGGCTAGAAAGCACTTAACTCTCAAGCCTTTGCTCTGACTCTTCATTATAGGGATTTGCTCAATGTTGGAAATCCAATTTGAACTGGATCTAGTCCGTGGTATATACATATAAATTTGAAATATGGCTAGGAGAGTGAGGAGGCCATGAGCTTTGACATCAGATATACTCTGGGTTTAGATTTTACTTCCTATTTAGTGTTCTACATTTTAAAAATCCAGTATTATTTTGGGGGTTATTTTTAATTTAAAAACTCAGAAGCAACAAAGATATGCTGGTGTGACAGATTACATGGTGGCCCCCGTGATTCCCAGCACCTTTATGTTCACAACTCTGTTGGATCCCCTCCTCTTGAATGGGGTTGGGATGGGTGACTTGTTTCTGAACAATAACTATAAGGAAGGTGATGGATGTCACTTTTGTAACTATGTTACCTTATAAAAGACTCCCTCTTGCTAGCAGAGTCTCTCTAGAGACTGTCCTACCGGGCTTGATGAAGTAAATGGTGGTGTTGGGGAAGTCCCTGTGGTAAGGAACCACTGTGACCTGTAGGAGCTGAAAGGCAGCCTCTAGCCAACAGCCAGACAGCAAGAAGTCAGGGCCCTCAGTCCTACAAACTCAAGGAAATGAATTCTGTCAACCGTTTAAGTGACTTTAGAAGTAGATTCTTCCCCAGTCAGGCATCCAGGTGAGAGAACACAGACTAGATGACACCTTAATTGCAGCTTTGTGAAACCCTGAGCAGAGGACCCACTCAATCCATGCCTGGGCTCCTGCCCACCCCTAAATTGTGAGAGTGTGTACAAGAGTGCAATTCCTTCTTTGATAAATTTTGTATTACATAGTGTTGCCCTGTTACATTCTGATTTTCCTTGTACTTTTTCACATTCATGTCCCAGCCTTGATCATGGCAGAGTCTCCATAAAACAAAAACTGATGAAATTGTGTCCTACAGATCAGCCATAGGTGTAGGGATTTCCAGCTGCATTTCTGCCCAGAAGATTGTGTCTGAGATCCACAGCCCGCTTCCCTTCAGGTCCTTCGGGATAGTGTCTGAGTGAAAACTGCTGTGGTTGGACAGAAACACAGTCAACTCAGCTTGTGTAACTCAAGTTGCACAGCAATGCAAGGAATACTTACAGTAAAGAACTAGGAACACGGTAAGTACTTAAACCATGTTTCATTTAATCCACCTATCTTCGTAAAGCTTTAATTTGAGGCTTCTAGTGTCTTTCTTTTTTCCTCCTCTTGATGTCAACTTGCTCTGCCTTTAGCCTCAACCCCTGCATTTATGTACCTGCTTGCTAATTGCCCTTACCTCCAGGTACAAATCCAGCCTGGCATGCTCAGCCCCCTTCCTTCCTTCCTTCCTTCCTCTTTCCTCTCATGCTTCTTTCGTTTATTAGTCCCTGAATAATAATTCTCCCTAGTTTTCTTTCTCTATATCCCTCATTTTCTTTCTATTATACAAGAATACATTAATATAATGTCATATACTAATGTATATTGTGTGGCATCAAACTGTATTTGTCTTTTCACATATACAATATATAAATAATTCTTTTAAATGATTATATATTATCATATTATTAGTATATCCATTCCCTTAATTATTGAGGTTGTTTCCAGTATTTTTTTAGTTCCTTTTTTTTTCCTGGCTCAAGCCATGTAACAAAGTCAAATATTTTTTATTTTTTTTTAAAGTCAAATATTTTGATATAACAAATAAATTCTGTGTGCACGACTCCTTGAACAAATATGTGATAATTTCTCTAAGTCATATACCCAGAAGTAGAACTCTGAGTATGTCCATTTTCATTTTATTCATTAGTGACAACTTGTTCTTCAAAGTGGCTGCAGTTTACACTTCTATCGGCTATGTAGGTGAGCACACCTTCCTGCATTCTCCTTTCTGCACACCCCCCCCATGACAGATATTACCCAACTTCAACATTTTTGTTCTAGCTCACTCTCATGTTTATTTTCTCATCCTCTTCCTCTGCCTCCTTCTTGCTCCATTCTCTCATTTTCCCTGGCCCTGTTCTCTCTCTTGGTTTCTCTGCTCTTTTGCTTTTTAAAAATGTATAACTTGTTTTAATTTAAAATTTTTTGATTTTTAAAGTTTAATCTATCATTTAATTTGTAACCTGTTTTATAATGAAGATCATGAAAATATCTGTCATCATATGTACATTTATGAAATAAATGCTAATGGCTGCAGTGTGTTCTATGTCACTGCCCCACTGTACTTTTTTTTTAGGTAAAATGTCCATAACATAAAATTAACCATCTCAAAATGTACAATGCAGTAGCATTTAGTACATTCACAGTGCTGTGCAACCAACACCTCTGTCTAGCTCAAAAACATTTCATCCCCTTGAAAGGAAACCCCATACCCATAAAGCCTTCACTTCCCAATTCCTCCTTCTCCCAACCCCTGGCAACTACTCAACTGCTTTCTGTCTCTATGGATTTTCCTATTGTGGATATTTCATATAAATGGAAGCATACAATATGTGACATTGTATGTCTGGTTTCTTTCACATAGAATAATGTTTTTGAGGTTAACTCACACTATAGCATGCAGGAACTTCATTCCTTTTTATGGCTGAATAATATTCCATTTTATGGATATGCCACAATTTGCTAATCCATTTACCTGTTGATGAACACTTGGGTATTTCCAGCTTTTGATTCTTGTGAATGGTGCTGATGTGAACATTTGTGTCAATACCAGTTTGAATACCATTTTTCAATTCTTTGGAGTATACACCTAGGAGAGGAATTGCCAGATCATGTAGTAATTCTGTTTAACTTTTTGAGGAACTGCCAAACTGTTTTCTATAGCAGCTGCACCATTTTACATTCCTACTAGCAATGTATGAGGGTTCCACATCTTTGGCAATACTTATTACTTTTCATTTTTTAAAAAAGTATAGCTATTCTAGTGGGTATGAAGTGATATCATGGTTGTTTTGGCTTGTGTCTCTATAATAAGATGTTGAATGTCTTAATGTCTGAATGTCTTTAATGTTCTTTTTGGTCATTTGTGTATATCTGGAGAAATGTTTATTCAAGTCCCTTGCCAATTTTTCTGGTGGGCTGCTTGTTCTTTTGTTGTTGAGTCATAAGAGTTCTTTATAAATCCTGGGTGCCAGCCAACTCTTATCAGATGTATGACTTTCAAATATTTTCTTTCATTCTGCAGGTTTTCTTTCCATTTTCTTGATAGTGTCCTTTGATGCACAAAATATTTTAATTTTGCTGAAGTCTAATTTATCTATTTTTTGTCTTTTATTGCTTGTGGATCATATCTAAGAATTCATTGCCAAATCCAAGGTCATGAAGATTTCTGTATATTTTATTCTGAGTTTTAGAAGTTCATGGTTTTAACTCTCATATTTAGGTCATTGATCCATTTTTGTTAGTTTTTGTATATATTGTGGGGTAGGGATCCAAATTCATTTTTTTGAATGTAGATATCCGGTTGTTTGTTGAAGAGTCTATTCTTTTCCCATTAAATGGTCATGACACCTTATTGAAATCAATTGACCACAGATGTATGGCTTTATTTCTGGACTCTCAATTCTATTCCATATATTGATCTATATGTGTCCATCTTTATGTCAGTACAACACTAGTAATTTTTTATTTTTTGTCTTTTCTGGTAAGTTGATTACTAGTAATGTTTTGGTTTTTTTTCTGGTAAGTTTTGAAATCAGGAATTTTGAATCTTTCAACTTTGTTTTTCCTTTCATTAAGGTTGTTTCAACT